ACCATGCTGCCCCCTTAGTAATTGGAGATGAGCAATAAATAACGGCATTTCCAAAGGCAACCGCATCCCATTAATGATAAAATAAACAAACAAACAAACAAACAAACAAACAAACATGTGGCTACAAGAGCAATTCAGAGGTCAAGAAACATGAAGTGAGTGACCCACCTCCCAGCTCCCTAAATTATCCCATCCACAAGGCCATCAGGAATACTCACCACTTGCCCAAATACAGGCCATGCTGACTCAATTCTCCAAGTGATTCTTCATTTGCTCCCTCAAAACCATAATGAATTCATGGTGGCTCCGTGGTTAGCACTGCTTCCTCACAGTGCCAGGGACCTGGGTTCAATTCCATCCTCGGGCGACTGTCTGTGTGGAGTTTGCATATTCTCCCCGTGTCTGCGTGGGTTTTCTCCAGGTGCTCCGGTTTCCTCCCACAGTCCAAAGATGTGGGGGCTAGGTGGATTGGCCATACTAAATTGCCCATAGTGTTCAGGGATGTGTAGATTAGGTGGGTAAGAGGGGGATTGGTCTGGGTGAGATGTTCTGGGAGTTGATGTGGACTCGTTAGGTCAGGGGGCCTGTTTCCACACTGTGGGGATTCTATGATTCTTACCTTACACTGGACTTTAGGCTATAGGTCCCTTTGCTTTGTCTTTTATAGATGGACTTCATCTACCCCTTTAAATCGAATACCAAGTCACAGTTCCCAAATCCACTGATTCCAGCATGAATCCATAGCTCTCATTTGCAATGCTTTCTTAAGATTCCCACCAAGACATAAAACAAGGATGGCTATTTGTTTCATATCAGCCAGATGTCCTGAGGGAATACAGCCAGTGGAATATTTTTGAAGTATACTCATTGACCTGATATAGGAAAAGCAGTTAGTTTATGCAGAGCAAGCCCAAACAAACAGCAGCATAATTTTTGCTTTGATTTATTTATTGTCATGTGTCTTTCGTTACAAGATACAGTGAAAAACAAAAAACAAAAGAACAAAGAAAATTACAGCACAGGAACAGGCCCTTCGGCCCTCCAAGCCTGCGCCGATCCAGATCCTCTATTTAAACCTGTTGCCTATTTTCCAAGGATCTGTATCCCTCTGCTCCCTGCCCATTCATGTAACTGTCTAGATACATCTTAAATGAAGCTATTGTGCCCGGCTCTACCACCTTCGCTGGCAACGCGTTCCAGGCACCCACCACTCTCTGCGTAAAGAACTTTCCACGCATATCTCCCTTTAAACTTTTCCCCTCTCACCTTGAAAGTGCCATATAATGTCACCATTTTCTGGTGCCATCTTAAAACACAGAATAATAAACCAAAACAGAGAATAGAAAGGCAGAAAAATGAAGAAATAAAGAAAATGTCCAACTTTACAGTCCTTCTTGTTAAGTGCTCCATCATGGGCCATGGACCTGGTAGCCAGGCATGAGTCCCCTTCGCCATGCTGCCACTGGAACAAAAGTCACCACTCTTCAGTGCTCTCACCACTATAGGTGCCACTGATTCTGACGGGTACCACAACAGCCCAAACTCAACTTCGCCACTGCCATGAGTCTGCTTTGGGCCACCTCACTGATGCAGCAGCAGCTGCTGATGCCGCCGGGTCTCATATTGGGACCAAACTCGCTTCTGCCTTGGATGCAGATGCCGCTGGGAACCCAAACTTGCCTCCGCTGAAGTAGCCATGAGTCGGCACTAGGACTGCCTCGATGATGCACAGCCTGCTGGGAAGCCAAACTCCAAAGCTGCTACAAGTCCGTGCTGCTGGGCCTACTCGCCGCCACCGCAACTGAGCTCTCCACCAAGAGGTAAGTAAAACAAAATAGAGGAGAGAACAAAGAGAGAGAAAAGAGGTACAAAAAAAAAACGAAAAGCAGGTGCACCTTGGACTCAGAAGCCCTACTCCACCACCATCTTACTACAAGTGATAGCCAGATAATTGTGTTTGTGATGTTGACTGGAGGGTCACCAGGGAAAACCCTCCTCTTTGTTCTTCAAAATAGTGCCATTAGATCTTGTACATCTACCCAAACAGGCTGCATGGGGCCTCAGTTAATCTCTCATCCAAAGGCAGTGCCACCAACTGTGCTATACCTTGTCAGAACTAAAATGCACTCCTTAAGTGAGACCCGAATCCATCCTCTTCTGATTCAGCAGCAAGAGTGTTACTAACTGAACAATGGCAGGCACACAATATGCCTATGTGATTTACTCAGTTTCTGAAATCTGAAAATTCAAGTAATCACTGAAGGAACAAAGCCACAAAAGGTTGATTTTTAAAACCAAAACAATTTATATACAAATATCAAAAGAACACGAAGAATAATAATTATACTCGTTCTTAAATCGTAAGGTACATTACAGTTATTTAAACTCTAAACCAAACTTCTCAACTGAAGCCGCTTTCCACACCCATCTGGCTTATGTTCCAGAGAAACCCGAGGCAAATACTCAACTGAAATTGAAAGGTTAACCAAACTCTGAGGGTGGAGATTTCTTGTGCCATCCATTTACTTCCAACAAGTTATTCCCTTCAAATTTCTTCCAACCATTCTCATGGTTATAGATGCCAGTTCAACACAGGTGGCTGATGTCTTACGTATAGCCACCTTGGGTCAAAGCTTTCTTTTTTTCAACATTGTTTAGCTGTGACGCGGCAACTCTCTTAAAATCCTTAAATTATTAGGATTTTAAATGCTTTTAGCAAACAAAAGAAATTCAGTTAAATTCTTCCAAAGGAGATATTCTATGCATCTAGGTTGCTCTAAATTAAACTGCATTGAAAAGATGTTTCATGCAATAAGCTTCTTATTCAGTATTTGCTTCTCTACTGTTTATCTCTCAGGAAGGTTAGTTTCCTGATCAGTTCCTAGAACAAATTGTTTTGTCCTCTGAAACCTAGCTCTAAAAGGTAACATCATCTCAATATAATATCTAGGCTTTTCCCTCAAAAACTACATAAGCCATCAACCTGTTTGGACTGATGGTCTTAACTTCCAATAAGTTGTTCATCTTCTTCAGCTAAAATCTTATCATTTTGACTGTGGAATTCTGCTTCAATGCAACATAGTCTGTGTTAAGCTCTGTTAATAAACAGAAGGACAAAATTTATCTTTAGTACACTTGTTATCCCTTGATAACTCGACTGAATCACCTCTGACATTTTTTGCATGTTCCCACTGTTTCCCTATCTTTTTCATTTTGGCTTTCCTCACTAACTTCTTAGGTTTCCTAACTTTATTTCTGTATTCTGCTCTCTAATCATTGATCTTTATTGAAGGAAAAGTATTTTCCCTTTCCTCTTGCAATACTTTCCCAGTGAATCTCTTCGGTTTCTTTTTCTTTTTGTCATTCCTTATCTTTTCAAGTAGCATTTGGTTTCTTTTCATTGATTACAGAGTATTTCCAAGAACCTTCCATTTTTATGTTCCACCATTTTAAAAGTGTGGCCCAACGTTCAGCCTGCTCCTTATTCCCTCAAAGTTCACATTTAATACTCTGCTCCTTTGCCTAACCCAATACGAAATTCTGTCCATGTTGTGATCACTACTTTTGAAGTCCTCTAATTTGTACCTACTGCTCCTATTACTATAAGTACTAAGTTCAATGCCACTTCTTTCCTTAGTAGTCCCTTTAAATAATTTGGATCATGTAGTAGCTAATGTCTAATTTCAAACATCTTGTTCTCTCACTATAGTCGCTCCCACATCGTTCCAAATCCAATGTGTGTAAACTGAAGTCACTCATAAGATTGAAGGATGACATTTCACATAGACCATTTACCCTGGGAAAACATCTACTTTAAAAGCTTTCTGCAAATTCTCTTCCAAGCCCCACACAATATATTGGAAATATATCATTGTTCTTTCACCTCTGCTGAGACAAGATCTTGGAAATTCTGCCCTATTATCTTCGTTATGGATGTGCTGACAGCACATTAACTACAGCAGTTCAAGCTGGCAGCTTACTTCTACCTTCTCAAGGGAATTTAGGGAGAAGTAATAAATGCTGTAGTTAGCCAGTAGTAACCATATGAAAGAAGAATTTTACAAATTATGGTCAATTATATCCTTCCTTGAATACTGTTTAACTCAATTTATAATACTAACGCACCAACTACAACCATCATTTGTCTTGCACATCTCTTTACTATAAAGGCCCTACTCACGATCCCTATAAGTTGCACTGCAGCAACCCAGAGGTTTTCACACAAGGACGTGCACATATCAATCTTTTTCACTGTATAAGCATGACAATGCACAAGATGATAAGGGGCCCACTTACTTAAGTTAGCTGCACATTTCCAAAAAAGGAAAAAAGGTTTTTGTTGTGTATAGAGAGAGTTTTAATAGGGCAGATCATTTTTCAAATTTTTCAAAACACAAAAAAAAGCCATCTTACCACTATCTTCCAGGGAGGAGTAAACATACTTGGCAAATTCTCTACACAAGAATACCTAAATTTATATAATACGAATACTCAGGTGCTCAAAAATTCTAGGGATAGTGTACTCACCATTTTATTAATTCCTTTAAAAGACAAAAATTTTACTTGAAACTCAGATAGCAACAATGGAACCAGGTCTCTTTTACTTCTAGCACATTTTACGTAGAGATGTTAAAGGTAGTGAGCAGCCCGAGCACAAACATAAATACTACAGCATCTTCGAATTTGTGTGGAGATACTCCTAGCAACAAAAAAACTGATTTTCCTCCTAATCACACTCCAGATACTTGATCAATGCATGTATTCTTAAGAGGGCACAAGCTTCAGTTGAAGAACAAAAAAAAAATCACAAGACAAGACAAGACAAATACTAAAACATGTAGGATTCATCATTAAATATTTCTAAATGCAATTTTATAGAAGTGATCAAACTTAAGTAATTGTTGAGGTTTAGAAAAAGGTTTATATAAACACCAAGCTTGTACATTTTTGTGAAACTTTAAGTTGTATTATTAATAAAAAGCCTTTAAAGTCAAACTTACCTTTCTGCATTATGGTCTAACATAGCGTGTAATGCTTCAGCATTAGCTGCAAGGGACGGAAAACAACATTTACTCCAAAACTGAATTATGGATATTTGAAACTTGACAATTCAAATCTAATTACTTTTGATGGCTTGCTCAGATTCATGTAAATTTTCTCAGACTAATTAATGCCACAAAACGTTATGACAAAGTTGACTTTGAAATCGAACAGAATCCTAACAAATAAAAGGTTAAAATCAAGATTAAAAGAATGACAAGTATAAAAAGAGACATGGCATCAATAGGGAGAGAAACAGTTTTTTTTTAAAAAAAAAGTGGTAGTTAATTTCAAACAAGGTTGAGCTAGAAATTCAAAAGTACAATACAAACAAGAAAACAAATTATTTAAGGGTCACATTGTCCAAACATAGTTTGGATGAATAGAAAAACCTTGAAGTTGCGGTTGTAACTATTAAATTATCTATAATTGCTGTCATTACTGTATAAAGCTGCCAAGAACACACAAACTTGGGAGGTGACAGTGAAACAGGCTGCACAGCTGTAATCTTTGAAAATGCAATCACAGAATTAGTGATGTAACATGAATGCCAACCTTTTATAGGGCTATTATTATGACACAGGAGGTGACAATTTGGTCTATCAAGCCCAACCTCTTCGTACAGCAAACTAGACAGGTCCATTCCCTGGCTGTATCCCTGCAACCCAGCATCTTGAATTCCCTCAAATATCCATCCAATTTCTTTTTGAAGCTGTTAATAGTCTACATTTCCATCACCGTCTTAGGCAGCAAGAGCCAAGCCATTGGTCACACTTGTAAAATAGTTCTTCTTTTCATCTCTTCTGTATTTCTTGTCCTGAATATTAAATCCGAGGGTCCAACTACTGGTTGATCAGCCATTGTCATCAGCTATCTGTATCTATATTATTTAAGTCCCTCAATCTTGTACACTTGTATCAGATCTCCCCTCAACCTCCAAAATAAAACAAAGAACTGTGGATGCTGAGAATCTGAAAGAAGAATAAAGTGCTGGAGAAACTCAGCAGGTCTGGCAGCATCTGTAGACAGAAAAATAGTTAATGTTTCAAGGCTAGTCATCAGCACTGTTTTGTTAACTGAAGATATAAGAGATATAGGTTAAAGGTGGGGATACGGAGTTAGGTCACAGACCAACTACACTCTCAATGAATGAAGTCTACAGAACCATAATGGTTCACTTCCGCTCATATGTAAAAAATACACTACAGTTTTATAATAAAGACATACCTGGATTTTTCATAATATAATGCACCATTTGTCCAACTGTATCGGCATTGCACTCACTACTATCACAGAAATCTAAAAATCAATATAATAAAAAACAAAGATGAGTGTAACAACATGAACACTGGTTGCTGAATTTCTCTAGCTCTTCATGATTTTATATTAGGAAGTTCAATTTTTGTTCCCTCTGTATTAAACTCTAAGTCAAAGAATGAACATTTAAAATTTTCCAGAGCAATAATTGTTGTTCTTACTCATTTTTCTAATCTAACTACAGATTTTCTGTATGCCTTTCCCAGTTTGGATGATCTATATGCAGCACAGTGTTTAGCACTGGGTTCTGGGTTCAATTCCACCCTCGGATGACTGTGTATGGAGTTTGCACATTCTCCCGTGTCTGCATGGGTTTCCTCCAGGTGCTCCAGTTTCCTCCCACAGTCCAAAGATGTGCAGGCTAGATGGATTGGCCATGCTAAATTGCCCATAGTGTTCAGGGATGTGTAGATTAGGTGGCTTATAGGGGGATGGGTCTTGGTGGGATGCTCGGAGGGTCGGTGTGGACTTGTTGGGCCGAAGGGCCTGTTTCCACACTGTAGGGATTCTATGTAATTCATCGCCATTACATCTGCTTCATGACGTTGCCCACTATAACTTGTAAATATACAGAAGGAGACAGACAGTCTGTTGCTCCAATTCTGAAATTGTTACATAATATCAGAAGCAGTTTCTGTAATTGACATTAAATCCCAGAGTCAGTCTTCAAACTCCTATCTAAACATAATGACTGGATGGAAGAAATAACCTTCACTTTCCTTGAATAACAGTTTTAAAATAAATGTCCATTAATCACCAATACATTTCATGTTGTCAGTCCAAGTTTAACTAGTTTTAGTGGTTACTTCATTAATTGATACCCTTACCCATCTGAGTGTCAGCAACCTTTTCACCACATTCTGACTCTCTGTCTGTTGTGCATCGATAACCTTTTTTGGCCAGAATGTGGCAGATAAATATTCCCAGAAGTCCTGTTAGAAAGAAGACAGGTACCAATACAAATGCAATGTACTCTGGATGTGCATTACTTATTTCAGTTTGATTCATCCCTTTCTCAGAGCTTTGAGATTCTGCAAAAAAGAAAAGAAAAGGTCAAGTATCTAAATAAATGTCAAATATTTCTATGACTAAGTTACCTATTTTTTTTCTTTTTCCCTGTTCTACAACTGCTTTTCCACTTTGGACTGGATATTCTGGCCAACTTCTTTCATTTCTGCTGCATTGTCCACTTCTGCCCCTTCTTCTACGGATTAGACATTTGAAGGTGGAAGCAAACACAGAAAATAGGAGTAGGGAGTAGGCCACTAGACCCCACAAGCCTGCTCCACCATTCACTATGATCATGGCTCATCATTGAGTTCAATATCCTATTTCACCCTTACCCATATCCCTTGATCCCTTGATCCCGCATCTTATCCAGGGGCTATTCCTCAGTTATTAATAAAGACTATTAAAAAAAAAAACAACCTGCAGGAAGCAGCTTAGCTACAGGAAGAAAAGGGAGAAATACGAATTAGGGAAAACACCAGATCCAAATAGCATGCCCTTCTCACTTAGGGCTACACATATTTTTTCCAGTGGGACCTTGGATACTAATCAAAGGGGAGGTTACATTTAAGAAAAGCAGCAACTAAATTTTCGTCTACAGCTTGCTCCACCAGTTAGATCTTGGAAGATTAGAATCTGAACTCATCTACTCACCTCTGCTCTATATCTTTCAATGCCTAAAAATAAAAAAAAAACCTTGTGATCAGACTTCAAACCAACAACTGACCCAAGATCCAAGACAGGAGACTGTGGAAAGAAGTTTTAGGTTTCTGCTACTGCAAGACATGTATTCACTGGTTCCAGATTTTCAACCCTTAGCTGCCTGCTTTAATTTGTTCATTCATATCTCTTGGCCTGAATCCCCTCACTAAAGGGGATTGTTTCTCTATAACTATTGCATCAAATTCTTTTATCATTTTTAAAACCCTTGGTTAGATAATCCCTCTCTTTTCCAAACTCAAAGGAATACAAATCAGCTTTATGCTGAACCTGCTCTCATATTTAATGCTTCAAATTTTAGTAAGTCTGAACCTACAAAAACCAAATTAATCTTCATGACATTCAGTGCGCAAATTAGAAATCTTTCTTTACTTATTCCCAGTTTTCACCATTTAGAAATATTCCAGATTGTCAACTTTGACATGAAGGAAGACAATCTCAAATTTTCTTACATTTGACACCATTTGAAACCATCTGAAACCATCTGTTTCTGTTCCCACTGCACTGCTTACTGTGCTTCCCAACTCAGTTTTTTCAAACTTTTGTTTTGTTTTGAAGCATTTGATATTAAACGTCACCCAAGGTTGATTGACATAGTTATTGGCTGCATTGACAATGACATTGTCGATACATTTATTCATCTTTGGAAAATGTTAAAACCAGGCTTGTTTGAAAACTTTAGGGGAGAAATACGCCCAGAGTAGAGTAAAGTTCTAAAGCAGGTATTAACAATCCATCTGCTGAAACAAAAACAAGCAAACCACAGTTGCTGGGCACAAAGCAAGATGGAGAACAGAATTCCTGGTCTAAAGTTTATGACTTCGATGTTGATACTGGAAGGAAAATGAATTACTGTTCCTCCAGCTTGTACTGGGCTTCGCCAGGATATTGCAGCAAGATTAGGATAGTAATGTGAGCATGAAACCAAGACATTGTCTTGAAATGACAAAGTGACTGGCAGCATAAGATCATGCATGTAGACCAAACAGAGATGTTCCACAAAATGGTCAGCCAGCCTGTGTTTTGTCTCCCCATTGTTGAGGGGATTACATTAGGAACACAAATATATTTGACTAGATTGAAAGAAATAAATAATTCACTGCTTCACCTGGAAAGGATTGTTTGGTACCTTGGCCAGTGAAGAGTAGGAGGGCAAGCACTACACCTCCTGCAATTGCATGGGAATGTGCCATGGGAGAGGGTTGAGGTTCTGGGGCACCCGAGTTGACCAGGTCGCCATTAATGGAATAGCCTCTCTGGATTGCTGTCTGGGATGGAGAGGACATGTATAGTGGTGACATCATTTCTGGACCTGGCAGAAATGTTGGAGCATGATCCATTGAAACGGAAGTCTAGTGGAGTGGGAATGGAGAATAAGAGTAATACTAATCACAGTTCTGTGAGAAAGGAGAAGGGATGAAGGCAAGAGTGAGGGAATTGGGTTGGAAATTGTTGAGGACCCTGTCCACCACAATGGGAGGAAATTCCAAAATTTGGAAAAAGGAAAACATGTCAGACATACTACTATAAAAGGTAGCATCATCAGAGCAGATGTGATCGACACAGAGAAACAAAAATAATGGAATAAAGTTCTTATGGAAGCAAGGCATTAGGAGACGTAGTTGAGGTAGCTGCAGGAATTGAAATGTTTATAGTTAATATCAATACACAACCCATCGTGGAATTAGAGACAGAAAATTCAAGAAAGGGAAGAGAAGCAGATGAGCCAGGTGAGAGAAGAGTAGAAGTTGGATGTAAAATTGATTATTTTTTTCCAGTTCCAGATGAGAGCAGGAAGTAGCAATAATGTAGTCATTGATGTACAAGAATAAAGTTGTTATCTTCGATGACAGAAAAGTTCCCACTTCCCAACAGTCATCCTCATCATGTTGAGCAAGGTCCCATTCTCAGAGCTGAAAAGTTGTTGTGCAACTTAATGGTAGTAATTATGCAATCTAGCCATTCAACAACACATTCATATGTCTCAAGGAAACTCGCAAGATAATAAGGGACATGAACTAAAAGCTTAGTCAAAGGAGTAGCTTTCGAGAAATGCCTTACAGGTGGAAAATGAAGTGGGGAGATGAAGAGCTATACGCAGGAAATTCCACAGGTTGGAGCTTTGAAAACTAAAAACATGGACACCAATGGTGGAGCAAGTTTAATTTGGAAAGCACAAGAGGCCAATATTAGAAAAATGCAGATATATCCAAGGTCTGTGGAGGTTGGAGGAGGTTATGTTCTTGCTCCTCTCTAGCTATGGTGGGATTTGAAAGGATGAGGTCAGAATTTTTTAAGTCAAGATATTGTAAAGAAGGAACAAAGAATAGGAGCAGGAGCAAGGTAATACAACAACTGAAAACAATTTAACAGAAAGCTCCACAGGGCTCTGCAAGGGCAGGTTGGCTCAGTGGATCCACACTTTTGACGTAAGCCATCACTGCCATGCATTGCTCAATATATGCTTATCTAGATAAAAGAGAAATCAGTGCATTTCAAAACTGTTTTATAACATGACAGACATGCCAGCAACACAATACCAAAACACTTGTATTTGTATTTTTTCCTTGCATACAAACCATAAAAAGCTCCATACAAGGTTCAGCAGCTAGGTTTTTTTTTTGCAGTCAATGTGCAGGCAGTCCCTGTGGATTGTTAAACAGGTTCTGTTCACAAGTCAATTTGTACACAAGTCAGAACATAAGCAGGACAATATAAAATTGTTGTTCCTAAGTATAGGAAATGTTTGTGTGTATTTAAAATCTTCTGTACGAGATCATGTTCATAAGTACGAATGTTTGTAAATTGAGAGCCTCCTGTAGTTCACTGCATTCAGGGTAATTCAGCCTCCATACAAGATAATGCAAAAAAAAAATCTGTAGATGCTAACCTCCAGACCTTGCTAGGAGTGGCTCAAAGAATAGTTACAGTAATGCATAAATCAGTTCCAAATAAAAGTTAATTTGCTGATGAAATTGTGATTTTAACTTAGGATTGCTGTTAAAAGTCACCACTTAGCTCAAACTTGGAAATAGCAAAACCTTTAGTGCAATATGCTATATAGTCCTGAATAAAGTTCAATACTGCTTCTGAAAAATTACAATACTGAACATTATTGAAAACATTTTGCAGAATTCAATGGCTCAACTCCAGCTGAAATTATTAGCAGCACAGCTTTTACACTGTAAAGTGTAAGAATATGAAACAGAAACTAGAAATGGTAGATCACACACTCAAAACAATCCACGTATAGGAGGTTTCGACTTGCTCGCCAAGCTGGCTTGTTTTTGTTCAGACATTTCGTCACCACGTTAGGTGACATCATCAGTGGAGCCTCTGATGAAGCCTTCATTGGAGGCTCTACTGATGTCACCTAGCATGGGGACAAAAAGTCTGAACAAAAACAAGCCAGCTCGGCGAGCAAGTCAACAACCTCATCCACAAGCTGAGTTACAGATCTTTCCCAATACTTTAAATCCACATATGTTTCTGGTCCTGTTTACAGTTGTCTACAGCATGGCCAAATGGACAGCAAAGCTCTTGCTCTTTCCCCAACTCAACTTCAGAACTAATTAGGTAATGCCAAATTCAAATTAAGAGCATGATTCTCAGGGACTTGGGGAAAAAAACATGGAAACAGTGATTTCTAACTTCACCAGATACCTCATTCATAGTGCATTAAGAAACAAAATAGAAAGTCACTCCTGAATTCACGTTAGAGGTTTGGAAAGATTATAGCAGGTTTTCTCCAAAGGCGATTTTCATTCAGTTTGAAATCTACTGGCATTTCACCAACTCGAGAGTTTTATCATATGTGCACCGAAGTTCCTTTGAAATTGCAATATATTCTTCAAAGCTTAATACAATAAAAAGGTACCAGCAAACCAAAAAATATTTCAGATGATGTGAACAGCAAAGCTCAGGTTTCTTCAGAGAAACAGCTTCCATCAAAAGATGGGAAGAAGTTAACCAGTATACAGCACCTAACTATCAACATTTCATGCATTACTGCTATATGCTCTCAACTGCATTTATGCTGCAGTCTAAAATCTTTCAAATAATGCAAGTAATAATGATCCTTACAAGCTTCACATTGTTTACAATGGAAAAGTGACTCAGCCTTCTGCAATGTTGGGTGGTGTCACAAGTAGTAACAACACAGAGCATGTCTAAACAAAGAATTCAGATTTCTAACAGGATTGAAGTTAGGCAATTGAATGGAAAAGTTTATTATGCCCATTTTAAAATCATATATGGAGCTTCCTTCAAAAAGTGGTAAGTGATGAGCTGAACTCATATTCTTTTCTGTTGGAGCTGGAAGTTAATATTGTATACCAACATTTATCTTAGTTGGCCAGTTGAACGTGTACCATGATGCCTAATAGCACACAAAATAAGCTTTATGTTCATTAAGTTTAACAGCAATGCCACAACCAACCAGGTCAGCTAAATGAAGCATTAATTTTGGGTAAGCGCTCTTTCTCAGGGATCGGTGTTGGGACCGCAATTATTTACAATTTATATAGATGATTTAGAGTTGGGGACCACGTGTAGGGTGTCAAAGTTTGCAGATGACACTAAGATGAGTGGCAGAGCAAAGTGTGCAGAGGACTGTGAAACTTTGCAGAGGAACATAGATACATTGAGTGAGTGGGCAAAGGTCTGGCAGATGGAATACAATGTAAATAAATGTGAAGTCATACATTTTGGTAGGAGTAATAGTAAAAAGGATTATTACTTGAATGGTAAAAAGTTGCAGCATGCTGCTATGCAGAGGGACCTGGGTGTCCTTGTGCATGAATCACAGAAGGTAGGTCTGCAGGTACAAGTAATTAGGAAGGCAAATGGAATTTTGTCCTTCATTGCTGAAGGGATTGAAATTAAAAGCAGAGAGGTTATGTTGCAGCTGTACAAGGTGCTGGTGAGGCCACACCTGGAGTACTGTGTGCAGTTTTGG